TTTTTTCCTTTTCTTGAGGTTCTTTGTTGCTCTTGGAAGATAAGTGTGTTTGTCTTCCTTTTGTAAATCTTCTATTGATGAATTAATGAAAGTGTTATTGATCAAAAAAAAAAACTATGCTAAACAATTGCTAGCACACTTTTTTTTTTGATAAACAACATAAACTTCATTAAACTAAAATGACATAATTACAAAAGTACAACAGGCTGGAAAGTTCCCCAGCCACTCAATTCGTTTTCCAATACAACCCAATTACAATTTAGCCCAAAACAAGTGTTCCCTGTGAACCTCTTGCCCGGCTAAAGAGTCTGCCATTACATTTACTGTCCTCCTAATCCAACTAAATGTAGTGCGATTACAATTAATTGCTTGGACACAATTAATTAAAAGTGCTTAGTTCTTCTTTCACTAGATACAGACAAGTGTAAGGTTTGTATATTTTGTCAAAATAATATCACTAAGAAAGGGAAACCAATTGATTTGATCAATGGATCCACACATCCAGAATTTAGAACCTACTTGAAGCTGACCAGTTGAAAGAAAGAAGTCCTTGAGGAATTCATGCTTATAACACCTGCAGAGCAAAAAAGGCAATGAAGGAACATGAACTGCAAAACTAGGGCTCCTAGAGACAATTTTTAAATTAAATTTTTTATCAGTACAATTTTTAAATTTAATAAAAGTTGGTAACTATGAATGTTGGAAAGAAAAGTTACAAAACCATGTCACTAGAACACACAAAAGAGTGCAAATTACCGAGCATATGATATGAAGAGATCACGACCCAGAGGTCTTGCCTGTACCATTCCAAAGAACTCTAATGGAGGCCTCTGCACGTAAGAAAAGAAAAGGTGTATAAGCATAAGAAAATCATAGATATAAATTATTTTAATACCATTCATCCATGCCACATATATTGCAAGTTGATCAAAGTAAACACAGTACTATATGAAAATCTATTTTGATATTTACTACAAGGATTACCTTTTGCCAGATATGGAATAGAACAAGATAAATAAGGTCAGTATCACCACTTTCAGTTGCTTTCACCAATGCTGTGTCTTCTTCTCCTATACTCAACAAAAGAGGAACCTGATATGACAAGATAAAAATTAGTATACCTTTTATAATTTCTTATCAATTATACCTTCCACATTTCTCATGAGATTATATGCAGTAATATCTACTATCAAAAGATAATAATGAAGTTCAAACAATGAAGGATCAATGTAAGTGAGAAAAGAAAGGAAATTATATTGAACAATTTACCAAACAACACACCTGTTTAGAAGAGCGTGGTTCATGTTCAACAAGCATTGCAGCTAACTTACGACGTCCGCTTTTATCTGCATGAGCAGCTACTGCTGCATAAGATATGCCTTTGCATAATTTAAGCTGAAACTCAGAAAAAGCAACTTCAGAGAAGTAGTTGTGAGTGAAAACCATAGAAAATTTTAACCTAGCTTGAGCAACCATGCAGAAGAAAGACAAACCTTATCAAGTAAGATTTCAAGGAGAGCTGCATCATGAATTGCTAATGAAGCTGTTATTTTTGCACATGCCCAGTGCATTATCACAACTTCCTATGCAAGGCCAAAAGAAGATAAAATTATGCAAATGTTTTCTTGGTATGCCATGCATCTGTTCCAAAATATTAGGCAGCATATGAAATGACATTATGTAATCTTTATTTCTGAAAATATTTAATGCGATTTTCAGAACATATGACTGCTTCCATGTTTACATGTCAATACATCAGGAAACAGTTTCCAGTATAGACATGGATTGATAACATCGATCTGGTAGCCTGTTATAATTAACCTTCCATTTATAGATTGAGATTGGATACAAGAAAAACTTGCAAATAAGTTGTGCCACAATAGTAAATACATAAGCAAATTTTTTTAAAGGTAAATTGAGAAATTTATTAATTCAGAAAGAACTCGTTACAACAGGAGAGCTAACCACATGCGGCTACTCAGATCACAGGACTTGCCACAGATCCCAAATGGATACAGATATTCAAGTACATTCAAATCTTTAAAATCAGGGGCTACAGACACCCAAGAAATCAGCTTGCTGACCGCCTGCTGCACAATTCTACTTTCATTGTGCTTGTTTCAGGGAAAAAAAAAACTTGATGCTATCTTCTACTAATGATTTCTTATTACCTTAATTGGAAATATTTACAAAGTCATCTCTAGGAGGAGTTCAATTTCGTGTGTGTATATTATAATATAAATAATTAACTTTTGCCTAGTTCTCCCTAGTTTTATATACCATTCAGCTTGATTATTAATTGAAAAGACAAAGTGATAACCATTTCACTAATTATTTCAGTTCAGCATCTTCAGCTATTATCAAGCGGCCCCTAAGAAGTTGCACGGTAAGTGAAATGCCTAAGATAGAGGAAATAAAACCTAAAACTAAATAGTAGAGATAAACATGGTGCATCATATAGGTATGCTTTGAATTTTCTGAGAAAACAACTTTACTTGATTAAGGCCAGTATACTCTGATATCCGAAATGCAAGAAAGTGTTGGTGACAATTAATCAAACGACCGATCAGAACTGATGCTGTGAGTAACTGAAGGCCACAAAAAGATAAATAGTTATGGAAAACAAGCACATGGATCTTGTAATGCACAATAAACAGTAAAATAAAGCTAAGTATTGAAGACCTTATACTGCTGAATACTAAGAGGAATGCCAATCTCATAGCTGCGCACAGCATTTAACACTCGTAATGTTTTGCACATCTCCTGAAGCCGATCACGTTGAAACTGGCTGCCAAAGCCAACTGGATATCATTATTGAGAATGCAAATCAGACTTTTTTTTTGCTCTGAATTCCTTAAATGTTAAAAAAAATATAATTTGGAAATATAGTGAGTACTTATACCACATGACATTGAACTTCAAAAGGCAAGAAACAAGGTATCCTTGGGTAAAGGACAAGAACGAAATGACAATTATGTCTATCATAATCTAAAGTCAGCCTTAAACTCCATTTCCTGTGTACCAACTGCTGCCATAAACCTACAATCTTGGATCTTCACCAAGACCAAGTATCCTAACTGAATGGGTGGTTGTCTCTTCTTACGAGAGGTTATTGTCTTCAGCTTTTTGGAATAATTTAACAATGTGCATGGCATAGCACGTGCCCTTACACCAGCATGTCCAATTGATCAGGACCCATGATGGAATAGTTTAACAATGGATATGACTTTAAACAGAATGGAATGGCAAAACAAGATTCATGTAGCCAACCCCATATAGTTGGGATAAGGCATGGATGATAATGAATTGATCAATGGCCTAGATAATGGAATTGGTTGTCCATGCATCACACATGAATAAATAACAAATACCATACAATTTTATAAATATACCATATTTATTAACATCAAGGTTTTCAAGATTCACCAATGCTAGCTAAATATCAGTTTAAAAACATAGGAAAACTATAAGAGATTAATTGTAAACTCCACATTCTTGCAACTAAAAGGAACATATTTTTTCTTTTGATAATAAATGGGAAAAAATTAGGGATTATAGCATATAAGGGCAACTTTTGGTCCCTAATATCAATAAAAGTAATATTTTTAATAAAATTTCCAAAATAGGTTAACTTTTTAAAAATAATATCAAATAAGGGCAAAAACACTATTCATCTTCTTCCTCCTGCAGATCATTTATTAGCGTTGCTGCCTGCCGCCGCCTCCGCCCACCTCTGGAGGTAGAGATGGAGGTGGGCGGAGGCATGGCCGAAGGTTGCTAGAGGCGGCGGCAGGCGGCAACGCTGATGAATGATTTGTATTAGGAAGAAGACAAACAGTAATTTTGCCCTTATTTGATATTATTTTTAAAAAGTTAATCTATTTTTGAAATTTTATTAAAAATATTACTTTTATTGATATAGGGTCCAAAAGTTGCCCTTATCTGCTATAATCCCAAAAAATTATGATTGAGTAGGAAGAACAAAGCCAGTATTCAAAGAGAGATCCAAAAGGAATATATCTTATAAACATTTCTATTTATGTCAAATAGAATGAAGTAATTCGAAAAAAGAATAACCTGCAAAAAGCTTGGCCATAGCTGGCAGCTCTTAATAGTGTTCGCTGGCGTGAAGTATCAAATTCATGGCCAGCAGCATCAATACATGCTTCAACCGCCTCAGGAAGAGAAGAGCGAATTAATCGTAAATTTTCATCTGCCTGCAAAACAAAATAGAATATTAAAGATGTACTCATAAGACATCACATCACCAGCCAAGACTTTATATTAAAAAGAGAAAAACTAATATCCCAAATAGTTCACAAGAGCATGAAACCCAGAGAAGTTTTTTTCTTCTTTTTTTTATCAGCAAAGAAAATACATTTATTAAATTATTAATTACTGGTTACAAATACAAAGACAATCCACCATATATATGTAACCCAGGTTAAAACAGATTACAGAATTGCCCCAAATAAAGTGGGTCTATCGGCCCCTTGCTTTGCTAGCACATCACCCAACCCATTTGCTTCCCTTTTCACCCCACCAAAACTAGAAATAAATCTTTGCAAAACTCAGAGAAGTTTCAATGACAGAATGGCTAAAATCTCAAGGAAGAACTTTCATATCAAGAATATATGAATATATGATGCTTCATCTCTTGCTTCCTAGTAAGTAGACATGCTTAAACACTAGTGGGAGATGCTTCAGATTTTACAATGTTAGAACACCAGTGGGAGATACTTCAAATTTTACAATTACTACGAGTCATCATCAAGGTCCAATACTTAGCCCTTATCTATTTGCACTTATCATAGACGAATTGATTAAACATATTTAGGAGGAAGTTCTATGATGCATGTTGTTTGCAGATGACATTGCTTTAATTAATGAAACCAATGAAGGATTAAATGCAAAATTAAGCTTATGGACAAATGCCTTAGAAAAAAGAGTTTTTAGAAAAAGTAGGACTAAAACAGAGTATATGACATGTAAATTTAATAATAATAGGAGTGTAAATCAAGATACACTTGGAATTGGAGACCAAAAGATAACTCAATGTGACCATTTCCGATACCTTGGTTCAATAATTCATAACAAGGGAAAGAGCAAGGAGGATGTCACCCAAAGAGTTACAGTAGGATGGGCAAAGTGCAGAGGTGCATCTAGACTTTTATGTGACAGGAAAATATCACTTAAATTAAAAGGAAAATCCTATAAAACAATTGTAAGGCTAACTATGTTATATGGAGCAGAGTGTTGGGCAGTCAAGAAACAACATGTCCACAAAATCAATGTAGCAGAATTGCAAATGCTAAGATGGGTGAGTGGAAAAACTAGAAAGGATAGGATTAGAAACGAAGTAATCCATAAGAACCTAGGAGTAGCTCCAATAGGTGATAAAATGAGAGAGAGTAAACTAAGATGCTTTGGTCACATGCATAGAAGACCATCAACTGCACCAGTTAGAAGAAGTGATTTGTCAAACATTGAAGGGGATAGAAAAGCTCGAGGTAGACCAAAAAGGACATTGGTAGAAGTAGTAAGAAATGATTTAAGCATTAACAATTACAAAGGATATGGCTTTAAATAGAATTGATTGGCAAAACACGATTCATGTAGCTGACCTCACGTAGTTGGGATAAGGCATGGATGATGACTGTTATTACTACTAAAACATGCTGCTAACATTTCAATCTCTTAAACAAAAAGAAGTTTTTTGTGATTGAAAGCCTACATCTCTAGATTCAAAACAGTACTTAGTGTATAAATTCATACTGAGAGGCAGGCACCTGTGCTAGTCTTTAGGCAGAGAGTAGTTGGTGACCTACAGCACCTATGCTAGTCTTTAGGCAGGCACTTTTCTTAATTCCTAAACACAATTGCTAGTTTCTACATGTTGCACAACACCAAGGCACTAATCATTATGTGCAATTACCAGTGATGCTAGAAAGGATGTTATCCCTAATCAAATATGATTTAAGCCAATAGAGCAATGATCCTTTTTAGAAGGCTCGGGAGCAATCACATTTTATTTAATATGCCTACAATTTTGCATGTTGATTAGACTATTGTTGGTGTTACTGTTATCGTGTGTTAAATTTAGGTGCTTAGTATGGTATTTTTTCAAAGGAGTTACTTTTACCTTGTACACTCCATTTCTCTTTAATGAATTTTACTTTTATTTTATCATCAAAAAATAACAATTAAAAAAAGAATAACATTGCAGCCAAAACAGAATGGCAACGATAGGCATACCTTAGCACTTCTCTTGTCAAAGTGTTCCAAAGCATCATAAAGCAAAGCTGCTGGTAGTGTGCTCCCAATCTTAAAGATTGATACTGTAGAATCAGGAACTCTTTGTAGAAATTCCATACTTGTATTTGAGAGAATCCTTACTCCATCGCTCTCTGGGATAAGAATGATTGGTTCATCATACAAATAGCGCACTGGATCTCCATAAGGACCCACCATCAAAAGCACATCATCCCAATAAAGCAACACACTATCCATCCCACACCATGCTAGCTGTTCGGGGGGTAGGGCAGACTGCATACAAGAATGAAACCATACTCAGGACATGGATTATCATAACCTAATCACCACGAAGGATGAATACAAGTTTGTTGTTGAATGCCATTAAGTGCCTTCTACTCCTAGGAGCTCCATTTCATGGAACTATGACCAAAAACGCATTCCTTTTCAAATTATATTCCTAGGGACATAGATTACAACATAAAAATAAATGCTTTCAGCACTAATTTCCTCCATATCCTGAATCATTGGAATAATGAATAATTCAATACAGACTTGATTGTTTACATAGAGGAGGGTGTTCTCAGGTGAAAAGACTGACCTCGCAGTTGTACTCAAATATGATCTTGGAGAAATCGGTTGAGATAACCAGAACACGCCCATCATGGGTAAATGAAGCAAGCAACTTTCCATTCCGCGAAACCACCATTTTTTGGAGTGGCCCAACACCTACTCCAAGTTGCTGAACTCCTTCCTCTTCAACGAGCAATACATGATCATTCACACCAAGAAGAACTTCAACATTGCCAGACATGGTGTACTGAGGCTCGATAACAGTCATACAGAGCGGGAACTCTTCAAGAAGCGGGTCAGCCAGCTTACACGGATTTGGATTCTGGAAATCAGGAATACAGAAAATCTGATTCGCCTCCGTTATGCAAACCATCCCATTCCCCCAAAACACACACTCCACCACATTCTGCTCGAAACACTCTTTGCCCATCGAAATATTAGGTTCTTGTAACTCGGCATGGACATTGTAGCGATACACAGTCCCATCCTGGACGACACAGACCAGAATTTGATCGTCGGTCCATGCCATTCCGACGAGGCGTCCGCCAGAATGCCTCCAAACGGTCTCGGAGAGTTGAACTCCGGCAGAATTGAAGATTCGAAGCTTGCGAAGAGCTGACTCGGCGTAAAGCTGGACGATCTTAGAGTCGTCCCGGATGACGGCGATCGGTCCGCCGAAGGGAGCGCAAGCAACCTTGTTGCGATTGAGATCGAATTGCTTCCATTGCATCGTGTAGATCTCGGGCTTCCGGTAGTAGCGGTTGTAGAGAAGCTGCCATTCCGCAGCCACTGAAACGGCCGCCATTGATGATCTATGGCTGCTGTTAGGGCTTCAGCTAAATGAAATATCAGGTCTCTCCATTGAAGCAGAAGATGAACAAACAAGACGAGGCTTCTCGAACCTTAGCTTTTGGACGCAGACGTACTCGACATGAAGGACTCCTCTCCACTGTCCTACTTTTTTCAAAGAGTTCGGATCTCCTCACGGAGCGCCTCACAAATCACACCGACCTCAAAGCATCTTTCGGCCGTGCACCTGAAATAGCTCGTACCTGTAAATTTTTAGTTCGTGGGGAGATGTTTTAGATGCACGGGCGAAATGTTCTGTGAGGTCGGAGTGAGGCGCGTGGTGTTAGGAGCATATATGATTTCTTTTTCAGAGGGAGGAAGAGAAACAGCTCAGATATTAACTTTCGCCTTAGCGGGTCTCGATGAAGGCTCACGCACACAACCATTTCTTTATTATGTTCTATTAGCCGTTCGATACAGTGACTGCAATGTGATGAATAATCTAAAATTAAGACTCGATATCACTCCTGTGGTACCCACTCATTCTTACTCGATATATTTCCAAACACAATATGTTACTCGTCGGTAATTATATATTCTCATAAATTTTGATATTTTTCTTTTGTCTAGATATGGGATTTTTAACCGAATTGTAAATTAGAGTTAATAGGCTCAGAGCCCTATATACTTATAAATACTTCGTCACAAAATTTTATTGCAGTCATTTGATCTTTTATCATACAAAGATTTTAATTTGAACTATATCTCATTGCCCAAGATGTCTATTTCTTAAATATCCTTGATCAAACCATTTATATACTAATCAAACTCCACCAAATGATACAAGAAACTAATACCTTCAAAAACCACATCATTAGTATTTGATTTTTCCTCAGGTCGTCATTAAAACCATCAATTTAACTCAAACACCATATCAGACCATTACGACCCCTACGAAACACCTAAAAACCTTGAACATCGCCATCAAACTCTCTCATCAAAACCATGATTCTCTTTTAAATCCTCTCGTTAGCCTGAAGCACCTATAACCCAAATCTCTTTAATCCTAACACCTATGAATCAATTAGACCATACAATTGAACCTTAGGCACACCAAAACATCTAATCAATTTATAAAGTTTCAAACTAAAATTCCCCCATTTGCCCATTTATGAAAATAAGGTTTAACTTTGAATCCTCTTAATAACCCAAATGTCTATGATTTTGGCCCTTCAAAACCAATTAGATGTTGTCATTAGATCCTAGACACTCTAATACCCTATCCCACAAAAATTCAGCCCAAGATACCTTTGTTTTCCACTTGATTGCACTAAGATTCTATTTTAAAGCTTGAGATTGACCGAATCAAGCTCTTTTTGGATTTGCCCCATCTAGGCATAATTTTGTCAATCTGGCCCTACCAATCAACCTAAAATGCTTAAAAACACCATCCTATCAAATTTCAACACAAAATTCCCTCATTTTCCCCTCCATTACACCAAAATTTTGTTTCAAAACTCTAGATTGACTAAAACACTATCCCCTCCAGATCTACCCACTCAGGGCCTGTTAATCCCACCAATTGATTCAAAATTCAAAAAAAAAAAACATCCTATAATTTTTCAATTAAAAATACCCTTATTTGCCCCTTCGAATAAAAAAAAAAAAAAAAAAAACTTCATTTCATCCAATCCATTAGCCTGTATATACAAAACCACTATGTATACTCAAATCCATCTTCACCCTTCATTTTTTTTACCCAAAATACCCACCATTATATTAGAATGTTAGTTTTGACCTCCTTAGACCTAAATTGACCAAAATATTCCTAATATTGTTGAAATTACCAAAATGCCCTTTGAAAATCCTAAAATTATAAAACTAACCTTAACCCCCATTATAAAAGCCTAACCTAATTTTTCATTCGAGCTAATAATCCAAGGTTTACTGTTCATCGTCTTCCATCCTGAGACGAAGACAAAAATAGTGGTGACAAGAATTTCATTCCCTCCAATTTCTCTTTGTTTGGTTGTTCCTTCACATTATTATATTAAAATGCTATTAATTAATAAATATTATTAACTACTTAATGGTAATAAATTAATTAAATAAATGAATACAATTAAATAATAAAACTACTATTAATTAATAAATGATGATTAATTAACTATGATATTAATTAATTAGTAGTATATACTATTTAAATGGTAACTAGGTGTGTTCACATTAAATGTCAAACCGGCTCGGCCCAACCCGAGTTGGTCGGTTTTGTAAAACCACTAGTTGGTTTCGGCTTGTATGAGAAAATAAACTGAAATCAAACCAAACCGAACCGATCATATATGTTTAAGTAATTATTAATTAGTCCCTACCCTATATGTTAATGTTGATATATTTTATTTTTGTTTTGTTTAAACATTGAACAAATTGGTTATTTATGATAAAATCTAAAAAGTAAAACCAATATAAATATAATATAATGGTACAATATTTAATTCAGTTTTTGTATAAATTTGAATATATATTTACAAAAAAAATTCAGTTTTGCATAAAAAACTAATCAATTTAAATATATATTTTGATTTTGCATAAAAACTAAAAAGAAATAAACTTAAATATAAATAGATATTTTAGTTTAAAATATATAAAAAAACTGACTAAATCGATAAATCGACCCTTCATGTTTGGGTCGGTCAGTTTCGGTTTAGTCAATAAGTAAACCGACTAGGTCGGGTCGATTGAAGAAAATGACTCCAACCGACCCAACCCAACCCGTGAACACCCCTAACGGTAACTAATTAATGAAATTAATAAATATTGTTATTTAATAAATACTACTAATTATATTAAAATAATATTAATTAATTAATTAAATTAATAAATATAACTAAATATTAAATATTGTTAATTAATAAATACCCTACTCTTCAAAAATTAATAATAAATACCCTAATTAATTATTTTAAAATACCATTGATAAATATTAATAAATAATAAATATCTATATAATTATTTAATTATCAAATCAGATACAAGTCAATTTACGATCAAACTCACTTAGAACCCGATCCATTTAGGGGGTATTCTGTAGTGTGGGTGAGAAATTGGTGGGTGTGGACGAATCCACACCACACCTTGTGGCAGGAACTAATCCACACCACACTATAGTCCATAGCTATTCTTGTGGACAAACTGTGTGGATTGGACCAGTCTATACCCACAATGGTGTTCCGTAGCATGGTGTGGACCATTCCACACCACACTTTTTTGATTCCATGTATCTCATGTGCATTTTATGAATGATATACATAGTTAATCATATATATCTAATTTTTGCATTTTATATGGTAAATATTTTGAAAGCATCAATGAATTAATACTAACCAATAAATGTTATTTTTTATACAACAATAGTAAAATAATTAAAAAATTAAAAAAATATATTTTAAATATTTAAAAATATTATTTTATTGGTAAAAACATTATAAATTATAAAAATTAAGTAAAATAATTAATATTTTATTGAAAAATATTTAAAAATAATATTTAAACAATTGATAAAAGAAATTTTTGGAAGATAACATGACATCTAACGATTTATGCAAACTAATAATCCATTGATTCATGTACTAGTTGTAAGACAAGTATAACATCAAAATATTATTCAATTGATTTCCTAAAATGGTGCATGGATAAACCATCATACTTACAATTAGTACTTAAACAAAAATAAAAGAACCACCATTATAAGAGAAATAAGAAGAATAGTACAAAGTATGTTACACCCACAACATGCAAGCAACATAATATCCGACTTGTGGAGTCTTTAGTTTCACAACACTTGAGAGGTTGAGGTTATTGTTTTCATCATATAAAAAACTTTTGAAAACTTATTTTCAAGGTTTTCTCATTAAGTGATGAATTTGCTTTAAGACATCCCTTAATGGTATATGGGAACTAACTCTACCTAACCTAAAAGTTTCTTCCACTGCAAGTAGGACAGTTTTGGTACATAGTTACAAACTTACAATTTATGGAGCCTAGAAGCAAAGAAATAGGTCACACCAATTCCAACCACTTACCCACAATCCCATAATTTAATGAAATTTTTTCTATATGATCTAAGCATCAAAATGATAAAAAATTAATGAAAATTTTCTTATTCACTGACATCAATCTCTCTAAATCACAAAGAACTTAACTACTGTTTGCCAATGCTGATATCACTCTAATAGAAAGCTATATACATAGATATATACCAATTCTTATTTAAATAGATATATACCAATTCATACTCCCTTTCTTTAGGAGTTAAGGGAATCTACCAATTTACTAAAAGATAAGGTTTTATTTTCAATCATATTGAAAAGAATTGCTTTAAAACTATTATTTTATGCCTTATCAACATATCCTTCCTAAAGCCTCTTTCACAAGTCTTCAGATATTGCATCAAATAAAAATAAATAAATAAAACTACCTGTGATGAAGTTGCTTCAAATTAACCAATCAAGTTTGGATAAGGTATGTGCTTCTAGAAAAATTATAAGCTGAAAATAAATGTAAAAAGATTAAAAAAATGAGCTAACATTCATTTGCAGGTTGTTTTTCCTCGAGAACTAACATTCATTTCTGATTCTGACAAACAACGGTTGTTTTTCCGGAGCTAACATTCATTTTTTGTTTGATGAAAAAGAAAGAAACTAGTGGGCGGAGAGAAATGAGCTAACATTCATCAGTTTTGTCTGATAAAAAAAAAGAGCTAACATTCATTAGTTTCATCAGGTTGTTTACAGAAATATAAATCTATGCGAAATAGAGAGAGAGAGAGAGAGAGAAATGCAGAAACTAGTGAGCGGAGAGAAACTTACCGGTGGTGGAGAGTTGCAGCGGCGGAGAAACTTCAGCGGGTAGGGCGGGTGGGCAGCGGAGACCTCAATGGTAATGTGAAACAAACAAGGTTTCAAAGAGACTTGTGAAGCGTGGGATAAAAAATCAACTATAGAGGGATACATCCACGATTTTTTCCCATTGACGCTATATTGGGGTGTGGACAGGACCGGTCTACACTATATTGGGGTGTGATGTGGACCGGTTGTGTCCACACCCAGCCGAACGGGACCAAATCCCATGGACGGGACCAAAACAGTCCCATCCACGAGATATACACGGTGCCAAACACCGCCTTAGTTTAAGCTGCCACGACACATTAGTTAAATGGACTAGTAGGACTTTTCAAACCCAACCCGTACCCGACTCAAACCGTCATCTT